TCTTGTATAAGAAGAAATTAAAATTGAAATATCATTGAAACCACGTCACATCTTATTTTGCAATTCCTTCTGAAAAAATTTGATATCGATTTTAGCAGAAAAGGATACAATATTATCTTAACTTAAGTTTAAATGCCAAGCATTTTGAACAATTACTATAACCACAGCCGTTTCTTTCTTTCTGTCGTTTCTTTTAAAATCGAATAAATCTTTTGATACATACTACACTAATGTAACATATAAATAATTGAGACCAAAATAATGTTTATAATTTATTGATTGTTCACAAAATTTCTACGGTTGAAATGCACTTTGATTTTGAAATAGTTTTCTCAAATTAAAGGGGGTATGCATAGTTCAGCTGTGACTGTTCTAATCAATATAACTTCTGATACAGTAAATAATATTATATCAATATGAATACCCAAGAGAAAGTTCCCACCCAAAGTTAGTCTAGTTTAAATTAATCCAAAGTTTACTGCTATCTCCACGGAATAGCCATTTATGGATAGCGATTAAATACTTTTTTTAATGTCCTCTTTTAATCAAATACCAAATTACAATACAATGGAAAAATCTTATAATAATTTGTCCTTTTATAATAGCAATTTTTCAATGGAATTTTATTTATTTTCAAATGTTCTTATTGTTTTTTATGACGTCTTTACATTAATTAACTGAAATAAGAAATTTCTCTTATACTAAATAAATATTGTTTTAGGAGAGATAATAATTATTAAGTTTTATTAATTTGTTTTTATTATCTTTCTACATAAGTATAACCAAAATTTTGTTTGAGATTCAATAAAATAGAAGAGCAAAAATTGTTCAAACGCAATTAATAGGTACAAAAAGTCATGTTGTGTTTAAAAATATTCATTGCAAAATTTTGCATAATTTTAATGGATTATTCTTAAATGGCCAGTAATTGGATTGAAATATTTGTTATTCGATTATATTATTTAAAAAAAACATAAAATTATTTCTACAAACATATTATCACATTCATGATACGTTAAATTACCGACTCGTTTATTTATTGTATAATAAATGTGCAAGTAAGCTTACCTAGCTTAAAACTTCAAAAAGTATCTCATAAAATTAGCATTATCTGAAGAAATGGCGCCAATTAGGTTAGCGGCACAATGTCTACTCCGCGGCCGACGGCACCCTGTCTGGAAAGACTTCGACAATTTCCAAGCATATTTAAGTATATTCAATAATGCTTTACACCTTGTTTTAATGGACCCACAAAATGTAATTTTGAATCATTTTTAAAAAGGTATCGTACTATTTACTTTAGTACGACTCTTCGCTTTGATGTAACATCTTGAAATTCTTAAGATTTTTGTCATTGGCAATAAACATGACCTTTTTCAAGAAATAATCAATGCAGCAAATATAAAAGTACTTTTATATGACCCTAATTCATCGAGCCATGAACGTTTTAGGACATTTTGAAACAATGATAATTATAACTTACCTTTATTTGAAATACATTAAAAATGTTTTATATAATACATTGTTTCATATTCATATTGATTGATAAATTATAATACAAAAAGGTTGCGCTGAGTTACATTTCTTTCATCATTTCATCTTTTGTAAAAATGAAGTCCTAAAACGTCGTTTGCTTACAAATTTTTAACTCAAAAGAGAAAAGAGCCAAGTGGGTTTCAAGGCGAATAAGCTGCTGGCATCGTCACATCATTTAAATTTGCAACTAGGAGACATATTGTTCTGATATATATCCTTCGAAGTGTACAGTGAAGTGTTAATATTATACATAAATATTAAATATATACATATTTCACATCATTTTATCTTTTATGAACCTACATTGTATCTCAATTTGAACCCATTGCTTTATTTTCAACTCGGAATTCGAATATCCTCTTATGACAATCTAATAAGTTTTATAATGTGTATCAAAATTCAATTCCCTACTTTAACTCTTTTGTTCAAGCAAATTTCTTAAAGTTATGATAAATTAACGTTATATATGTACTTTAGAACGTAATTATCGTCGTATCATTCATTATCATTTGTCAAAGTAAATTAAGATAAAATATACGATAATGCACATTAGCCTTTCGGTTGGTTTGTTAAAGATAGGGTTGCGTGTTAGGTATATTTTAATTAAAGTTATCATCAAGTGAGTATGAGGGACACGTAACGCGTACATTACGCGTCGTTGGTTTAGTTTTGTGCACGAACACACCCCTGACCACACGCAGTGGTTTACGTTAGAGCGATCGATTACTTATATCTTGTTTCGGATAACTGAGTTGTTGTTAGTGTGCAACCATAAACATTGATACAATGATTAAATGTCAAAGTATATATTCAATAAGAAACCATTTACAAACCTCCATGATATTAAAAACGTGATTAATGTAATTATATGAATATAAATAAAATGTATGTCTTATTTCGTGTATATTAGACGATGTAAACATTAAAGCTTCGTTAATATGGTATCCACACAATTCACGAACAAGGATTTGTATTCAAAGTTTCCAATAAATATGCTTTCGCTGGAATTTATAGTGCGAAAAGAACTAAGGGAACAATACTCATTCGGTGTTTATGCTCGGAACTGAAATAGAAATTTATATACTGCGGTAATGATCTCAGATTATGGTTTATTTCTCACTGCCTATAGGAATCATGAAATAAAACATGTTGAAATTATAATGTTATTATTTGCTGTGTGAAAATGTATTCCAAATATAAAATGTCATACCATCACAGTAAAATTTTCTAAAATTATAGTGATTATGACATCCAAGGTCTTTTGTAGTACGAGTGTGACGTAACTTACAATACGTTTTATTTAGAATTAATGCTATGGAGGCAGTTCAATACATTGTTAGCGTTACATAGAATCTGTGCACAGATATTTAAAGTTTCAGAGGCTTACATTGAGAGTCGTTTTGGGTATAATTTAATTTCTCCATTCATGGAGGTGCGAATTTACAAGTGCGTATCGGAACGTCGGAAGGCGCGCCGCCTTCGCCCACCCGCCTGATGACGTCAGCAGTCCACCACTCCACCCGATTATAAATATAACCTTGCCGATAGCACGCCACAGGTTTTGGCCCTTAAGTTTCCGGTATTGTAACGGCATCATAACATTATTGGATATGATATTACCCAACAGTAATATAACTGTGTATCATATACCTTTAATTCAAGTTTCAATTAAATATTCTATGCAAAAACTCTAAATAAGCGAAGGAACTGTAGCACTTATTTTGAGCTTAAAGTTTAATTCTCATTTATCGAGTTGCAAAGTACAGTAATAATAAAATTTATAACTTATAATTAAAATATATACGAAAGGTCGTTTGCGACGGTGTATTAAAGTGATTTTGTAAGCCTAATGGAGAAGTTTACGAGACGTGAAGTTACCCTCACACGTAGAAGATATATCACTTGGAACGTACTAAGGGCAATTACTATCTGTAACATCGAACCAGCTCAATATATCTATCTACACTTGCACTAAACAAGTACCGTGTTACAAGGATAGAACACTATACATACACGAAGGTTTTATTCAAATTGATTTTTTTAAGCTTTTCTAATTTGTATAAATTGCTTTCCCCTGTGCCTTTTTTTATTAGTTTTACTAAGTGATAAATGATCCTTTAAAGAAATTTGTAATGTGAGTATACTTTTGATACGGTTTCCTTAGTATTATAATCCGGAAAAAAGTATAAGTAATTCGGAATATTGTTTGAATTTACTAATTATTAATATCGGTATTTATTATATTTTATTTTTCAAACTTGTTCATTTAAGATGTTAGCTCTAATATGCATGAAATGTATAACAAATATGAGACTAATGTTAATTATCAAATCATTCAGTCTCTTCTGAGAACAGTTATTTAAGTTGATGGATGGATGTAGCCCAATCAGCATTCAACATTTCCACCGTCCTAATTGCGAAACACGTCATTGACAAAGAAAACGTCTTAACTGAAAGACGATTTCATTAAAATAAACAAGTTATATATATTTTTAATATTCATTTAATTCTAGCTTTTATAAGACTTTCAGCTCTTTAATTGGTTTGGTAAAGTTTTCGGAGCAATTCAACTTATTTTATTGTAAAAATGTTGGAGTTTCTTGCATAAATGGGTTAGTAAAAGACTGACGTCAAAGGCCGTGACAAAGTTATGGACTGTTTTATGTTTGGGCTCAGTTTATTTAAGAAATAAATAAGATTAGGGCCAAATTTTATACTGAATATAAGCGCGGAATGTAGTTACAAATGCTGAGACTTCGGGTTCATTCATTTTTTTTATTATAAAAGTTCTTGTGACTTTTTTAACTTATATAAGTACATATACATGTCGGTTATGGTTCTTTTTCACATCTACAGATAAATAGTTTAAGTTTAAATGTTAATAAAAAAATATCAATGTATTATAAATATTTACCTTTGTTAGGCATTTTCTAAAGGACAAATAAACTTTATATTGCAAAACATATTTTTAATTTGAATGTTATATTGAGAAAAATAACAATAACATAAAGAATTACAAAACCACATATCTCCAACAATACTGCTCACATTAAAAGTAATATATCAAAATACTTTGAAGGTTCCTGTTTTCTGTTAAATGAAATGAAAAAGATTTTGTGCTACAAATATCCGAATGTATTTCATTGAAAAGTTTTGAGTAAAGATAATATACTGTATAGTTGAGAAGGTTCTACTTTCGTGGAAAATTTTATTGACCGCCCCCGAAAGAAGACTTTAGGATAGTGAATTAGCTCAAATATATTTTTATATTTTAATTATGAAATATCTTAACCTATTTCATTTTTGTTTCAGACTGTGAAGATAATTTAAACTGTAGAAGGTATCGTATCACTGAAGTGGAGTGACTCAAAACAGAAAAGGATAAGTTCAATTTGGTCGTGGTTTAAATAATGTGGTCGGGCACCCAGCCCGTGGGTGTCGTGGTGGCGAGTACTTAGTAGAAGATGCGTGTGTGGGCGCGAGCGGTGTTAGGCATGCGAGTGTGTTGTGTTACTGTGCTAGCGGCGCTGGCGCTGCGCACCGCTGCAGAACCAGCGCCGCGACGCTTCCCCACCGAGTGGCGAGCCGGACGCGAACTACAGATCCGATCACGACCACTCCAAGAAATCTTCGAACCGGACTCTGGCACCGAAACAGAAACTTATACGTCACAGCATGAGATGCACAAGGATCGACGCAGGATGCGCAACAATAAACGTGCGCTACACATCCCCGCGGAACTGGCCAGCCAAATGATGCTGCGGGCTTCGCGATCCGGCCGCCCCTATGATGTTCCACAAATTGGTAAGTTCATATCATTATATGAAAAAATGCTCCAGTAAAAATCATGAACCGATGGATTCTCCTTAAACATGACAATGATATTTGAATTTTATGTACAATACTTAAATAGTTACAGACCTTTGTTATTATTTCATATAGAATAACCAAAATACATACTAACGTTTTATTTATTTCACTAAAATCTTCTAGCAATTTCTAAGACAGAACTATCGTTAATTATAAACTACATCGGTTCAAATTTGTAGTTTGAATAATGATGTTGTGTAGATTAACGGTTCAGTTTCGATATCGCATTGCACTTAGCAACTAAAAGGCCATTTATCGTTTGATTCCGAATACCACTGAAGTCAAGTGTTAAATTATCATTTAATGGAAATATATTCACTAACTATTTCTCAATAAAGGCTGCCTTCATTTACCCAAAATTGTACTTGTTTCGAGTAAAGTATATTAGAAGTTAATAGCTCTCATGTCTGTCTAAGTACTTTAACACAATAAAAAAGTCGTCAATATGGCTATTATACTATTTGTTTCTAATGGAATTAAAATGTAATGGTTTGGACAGCACCTAAATTGAGTTTTAATATTTTATAAAATTATTTTCATTATGTAATGTGGGTAGCTAGCAAAATTTTATCTAAGAGAATGAATAATTGAATTGACAATCGGAATTGACTTAATAATAGATCTGGTACTAGTACCGTCTATCCTAATACCTAAGCAAAGGTAATCATGATTCATGACGCATACGTATGCATGTAGCCGATGGCTGACTTTAATGAAGCAATGACAATTGAAGTCTTGCTATTCAATGCCTAAATCGGGAACAAACTACTACATTCATTCATACAATGTAACCTTTGAAATTATACACATATAGACTTCAGCTTCAAGAATACGAAAACAGAACGTGAGGTAATCCATATTCAATTTATGTTTTATACAACTTATTCAATATGTTTTATCAATGAAATACTTTTTTTTCTCTCTTTATCGTCGAGTCCTCATGGTTGAGGGACAGGAACATGGGGGGTTAAATGTTTTTTTCATATAATTAAGCATATAAAATATATAGATAAGTACGATAACAATATAAAGGAACTATAAATTAACTACATGGAGATTTCTTAGTCGTTATACGAACATTCGTTAACATTTTAATAATGTCTATAGTCTTAGTTTATTTTCTCTAAACGTATTCATTTATGCTTGGAAAGGAATTTTGAAATAAAAAATAATTCATGCGAAACACGCATTAATTTGATTACTAATTGTTACGAGGCGTAGGTTTCCCAGAAGTAATTTATATAAATTGAATTAACTTTATTCAGAAATCAGTTAAAAAACTACTGAGGATGTTTCTTATATTAATACTGTTACATAATAATAATAAGACATATATGTGCAAATATTGCTTTTTGATATTTCAGTTTTTAAAACACATGGAATTATTACACATTGTAAAAAAATACTTTTGTCTTTGTGAAGGATTTATTACTTATAAAAACACTTCTTTCACTTTCTTTAACAAAAATTTATGATTGTATAAACAACGAAAATTTTGTTTTTTGCAATAATTTATAAAAAAAAAGAAATTTTGAAAACTAAAAAGATAAATAATATGAACAGAAATTTGTAATATTTTATAAATATAGCACGCCTACAACCACTTTTACATTACAATTTTCAATACCTCCCAAAATTGTTTAGTTAAAGTTACGAATTTCTATGAGAATGTTTATAATTTGAATTATTTCAAGACAATGATATTTTTTAATATCAAAAGCGAAAATGCTAGAAGATAAAAGTAAATATTTTATATTAGAAAAAAATATTATATTACACCTTACAAGAGATAAAAGTTATAATAATAAATGTGAAAAAAAATAAATCCCTGTATACATGTAGCCCTGTGGCGCTTCAGACTTTTGTTCATTGGTTTTTTTTCGTCCATAATTAACGAGCGCTCGTTAAAGTGTTCATTGTGGGATATCTCAGTGCACTATTAATTTCTGTAATTATTCTCTCAAATCCTCTTAATAAAAAGACCAATATCATTTACAGTCTGAACGTAAATTAAAATGAATGAATATTTTCCGTTCACAGAAGTTTATATTTCAAGACGTATGACAAGAAATATTAGTGAACAAAATGTCTTTATAAACAGCCTCCCCTAGGGCCAGTAGGTGGTGTTGCTGTTATAATATTAACAGGCCATACATCACATTATACTCAGACAGGTACATCTTTAGCTCTACTATAATATATGTGTTAATTATTAGTAAAACAAAAAGAATAACCTAGTTGCTATCGTCAGGTTTAAATGTCAATGATTTTATGACTTCTTATTTAAAAATCTTGCTTTATAGATTTTCAATATCTCAATTACTTTTTTTAATATAACGGGACTCCTAGGTCTTCTTAAACTTTTTCGTATAGTACAAGATATTGACATCAATCAGACATTAGATATAATATTATAATACAAATACTAAATTATATGAGGGTTTTACATACATGCTTTGGTTTTTATTAATTAGAATTCAATAGCTGAACCTATTCCGAAGTCAGATTACTTTTTTACAAAATTATAATTTTAAGATGAGTGCTTATACATATTTTTTATTATTTTCATGAAAAATTAATAAATTCCTCAATATATGTAATCTACTTCTAATACAATAAATTTTAAAAATAGTAGCGTTTAAAACCCCTACTGTAATGTTTGTAAAGAAATAATTTGCTAAGTTCAGTATCAATATTATATTTCAAAGTATCGTTTCATATTGGAAGTCTATTTCTATTTGAGAAGTTTGAGAGCTAAGGTGTAGTCTGATATACCAACATCTATAAATTGTGTTCTCAATATTCTTGTCGAGCTTAATCATTTCAGATGTATAAGAAACATACGTCAAGTGCAGACATTTAGAAACCACAGGCCAAACAAACCCTAAATTTATCAAGATTTGTTAATTCAAGATTCTAAAGCATAAATTTTGAACTTCTATTATATTGAAAATTGTTATTTCACGACAAGAATAACTTCCAATCAAATTATTGTATTTGACCGTCAAATGGTATATCTTCGACATCAACTTAATTAACTGTCAGATAATTCCAGTCAAACTTAATCGATATTTAAATAACAATTTGGCAAAACGATTGTTATTTATCTTGGTAAGCTCCATTTAAGGTATTTCAACAATTTATATTTAGTAAATATAATAGATCGTAAATATAAATTCAATGTTATTGTAACATAAAACATACAATGTAAGTATATAGACATATAAAACAATATTGTATCACGTGTGAACTTTGCAATTTGATAAAAGTCATGATTATAAACATGAATATAAATTATAATAGTTACATACATTTGCGTGAGGTTCCTTCCGCAGCTCCTCAGTTCCAAGTAATGGGAACAAATAAGGGCCTTCAAAACGACGGTCGTTATTAATCGCTCTGTTCGCCGAGATAGGAAAACTGTTGAAAGCTGATAATACCATTAGTTTAACCACGCCCGAGCCCAATACAATAGCTTTCGTTAAAATTTTTAGCAATAATGTATCTTTTAAAAATTTCATTTTAAATTTATGTTAAAAAAACCCTTAAAATTATTCAAAACTTTAAAAAAATCTTTATTAAAATGACATTCTTTTCTACGTCTAAAACAAGATACGTATATAAAATATTTATATGCCGCTATAAATCATTCATTATAAGCAAAAAAAGGAAGCGTTGTCAACTTACTATAGAATATTTATAGCCAGCTAATATATTTAACAAGCATCCCAGAAATAGACGGTTTCCAATAACTTATTACCTGCCCAAAAAAAGCTTTTAAACTTATTATATTTTCCTAAGGTGACGCATATGTAACGATCAATAAATGTAACAATATTAATCGGATCAATTTAAGAACACTTATCATTTTACATTCTCATATTATATTTATAGTTCTCTGAAAACATTTATATTATATCGCTGATATTAATTTAGTTGATACATAAAATTAGCTAACTCTTCTTATATTAAATTTCATATATAAAAATATGCTTCATTTTTATATTTACGTCAGTGCCCTCAGATAAACGAATATAAATATAACACATTGTCAGTGCTTATTTGTATGAAGGGTGGAAAGGTTTTTTCTGTTGCTAGAATCCACAAATAAATCAGTTTTGAATACCAGTGCTTTGTTATTTATTTTCATATTTTTGTACAAATATTTGTCACGTTGACATGAGCTAAAGTAAATTGTATATATTTTAATACTTTGTTTTATTATTTATACATTTTATGTTATGGTTTTAACATTTAGAACTAATGACGTAAGTAGTTTCTACTTCAAATATTTCTCACTTTGATATTTTTGATTGATGTATAGACCCTATTAATTTTTATAGTATGTATCTTCTTATTCAGTCTTTTCGTAAAACACTTACAGTACCTTATTATACTAATTGAAGATGTTTTGCTGAAAGAAATAGGGACAATAATCTCTGAATTAATAGACTCGCAATTCACTTAACACATAAAACAAAAATAAATGTCCAGCAATCTATTAATGGACAGAATCTGTTGCTACGTCTCAACTATAAAAATGCAAAAGCAGACAATTTAAACAAATTTTTCACTACTCTTAGCACAACTAGTAGTAAATCAAAAATTAAATGAATGGAAAAGTACATAAAGGTACGGGGAATTAATGAAAATTAAGACTTTTACCAGCTCAGATAGCGCTCTCCCGTTAGAAGTTTCATTCAGTCTCAAGAAAATAGTTATTCATTGCTATTTTAAGATTTCTGTTGCTTAATTTAACTTTTATTATTTACTATTTAATCTTGAGACTTCAATTGACGGTCACTTCCAAAGCCTCAGGGTGGTAAAATAGCTCATCTAGTATTAGTTATTCAACACCGTCTCCTTTTAAGTCATAACACTATTTAATGTGTTTATTCATGTGCTCTAATTCATTCATTTGTTCATTCATTCAG